CCTCCACCTGTGCATGCCGCTGCAGGAACAGGTGAGGCCTTGCGTGTGACTCACATCCTGAGTCACCAGCTCTGGTGCTCCGAGGCCACACCCATCTTATGATGTGGGTGCATGCACGTCTGTGTGCGCGTGCATGGGCCTGGCCAGCTGTGTGCTCCCAGGCAGTCCCTGCTCGTTCCCCACACGCAAACACCGAAGCGCCCAGACTGACCAGCGCCTAAGCACGCGCTCCACCCCTTTCCACCGAGTCTCAGTGGCTGCCTGAGTTAAGGCTGATCTCCCAGCCCCCTGTGCAGCTAAGCAGGGCCATGCGGAACTTCTGGAAGGGTCTTAAAGGGAGGCCACGACTAGAGTGGAATCGCATGCCTGGAGTGTGGCAGATTTCTTGGTTTGAGACAAACCATGAGTCAAGGACAGTGGGGCTGCAGGTCAGAGGAAATACGCTCCCTGAAGACTCTGGAGAAGGGGAGTGGTGACACCCAGACCTCACAGGTTGTCGTGAGGATAACACAAACCAACGGTACAGTATCTGGCATTCAATGCCCAAGGGACATTAGCTCCTACCACCATTGCCACCACAACTGTGGCAGTATCACTAATATCACCGACATTCTTAGCTATTTATTTATTGAACCCAGGGCTTCACACATACTAAGCAGGTGTCCTACCACTGAGCCACGTCCCCAATATCACCAGTAATGTTGATCACAGCATTAAATTTCTCTTCTTGGTTTTCATTTCTCTCCCTGCAACCTGTTGAACCCGGGAAGAGCTGGCCTGCCCCACGCCAGGGGGTCTTTTCCACCCTCCCATGCCAGCAGCAGGTGTCCATCACTCCCCAGCAGGGTGGCCCCCGCACAGCCTCCCTCCCTGGCCCTGCAGAGAGCCAAACCCACTCACCGTGGACTTGGAGGGCAGCGTCAGTCTGGTGGGCCCGCCTTTCCTTTGCTGCAACAGAAGCCAGACTGGTCAAGCCCTGTCCCTCCACTTCTACCCCAGCTACCAGCCCTGGTGGAGCTATGGCTTTGCCCCAGAGCAGAAGGCAACCTGAGCTACCATGAGCACAGGCGCCACCAATCCAAGTCTTGATGGGGCCACTGTTGACAAATCCCACTGGGGGCCCTGGAAGAGGTGGAGGAGCTGTATCTCAGTTCCCAGTCCAAGGGCTGAGGGGACTGGGTGTGTAACATCCGCGCCCAGAACCCACTGGGTGAGGGCGGCTCAAGACCAGGGGCATCAACTCCCTGCCACTTCCCCCGCTTCCAGCAGCTCATGTGGCTGCCCGAGGATACAAAGTCCATTGGAAAAGAGACCCAGGTGCTGGCATTTGGATATTGGCCATGCACCGAAGCAGAAGGAAGCTGGGCACGGGAGGTTGAGAAGGAGCCAGTCCTGGCCAGGTCAAGTATGAGCTGTCTGACTTCTGGCCACTTGCTTCACCTCTCTGTCCACCTGGGAAGTGGCTGGTGGTAATCACGACCTCCCTGGCTTGGAGACCCAGGCCGGGCGGCGGGGACTCACCAGCTCCTTCAGCTCCCGCTGCCGGTCGCACAGCTGCTCGTACATGCGCTTGCCCACGTCCGTGCTCTCCAGCGTGGAGATGATCTGCAGCTGCGTGTCGTTGTTGTCAATGATGTTGTACTCCAGCATCAAGCACAGGATCTGGGGAACCAGAGGGGCACTGAGGGCAGGGTCTCCGGGGTGCAGAGGCTGAGCCCCGCCAGCCCTGGGGAGGGTCTGAGAGAAGCCGTGCACATGGAGGGAGGGCTCCCTGAGAGCTGGCACGCTGCTCTCCTTGCACTCCTGGCTGTGTGGTGCTGGGCAGACCCAGCCCAGTTCCCGGCCAGGACGGCAGGGAGCAGCGTCCATGCAGCTGTGTGCAGGTGCATCCTCGGCAAACGTGCCCAGGAATGAGGCACGCAGGACCCCAGGGCTGCCAGGAAGCAACAAGCCCTTTCTCTCCCTGGCCCAGGGTGCGGCAGGAGAGGGCCCTGGGCACAGCCGCAGAACACATTTCCCAGTGCCTCCTGCACTGGTCAACTTGGATAGCAGTGCCTCTAAGACCCTCTTTCCAATGGCCTCCCCATTGCCAAGGGGAGCCCACCTGGCCAGCCCCTCACAGCCGCTCTTGCCTGCCTCCTGTCTCCCCACTCACCCTCTTCCCACCCCACCTCAGCCCCGACCACAGGTGTCAAGACCAAATCTGGATTCCTCACCAGACCCTTGGGCTCCTAACAGGCTAAGCAGATCCAGCCATCCTGACCTCCAATAAGCGTCTTTCTGCCATAGAGCCTTGGCACGGGCTGTCTCCACAGACTGGACCCTCTGTTCCTGTCGCCCTGCTAATGCCTCCTTGGTCCTACACTTCACCATAACCTCTAGTCCCACAGGAAGCATGTGGATTTAACACCTGCAGTTCTCTAGGCTCTTCCCACTGAGAGATGGCGTCTAAGTCCCATAGCCTTGACCAGCAGGTCGCTTGGCGACTCAGGTCTGAGGGGTCGAACGTGGCAGGCGTGACACTGCCTGACTTAGGAGGCTACGTTAAAAAGCAACATGGCTCGGGCCTGGCTCCTCCTGAACAGTTGCTGTGGGAGTCCTAGGCTTCGGGGACTTTGTGCTGGTGGTGGGAAGCAGGGGACAGGCCACACAGGGAGAAGCTGGGGAGTCCGGTCTTGCTTCCCCTCAGGCCAGGGAAACAGGCTGTGGAGAGGACCCAGCCCAGCCTCCGCCGAGTGGCCTCATGAGACCCCAAGCGAGCACTGCTTAGCTGAGCCGAGCCACCTCCAGATCCACGAGCCAAACAAGTATCACGGTTCTAAGCCCCCTCTGGGGTTGTGCTGCTGGCCACAGAGGAGCAGGCTGAAACTGCCCGGTCTCTCTGACCAACATGCTGGATCACAGCGGAAATAAAACACTGACCCAGAGACGCGCTGAGCTCAGCAGGGTTGGGCTGCTCCTGCTTCGCCCTGGTTCCCCGTGCTCTGTGACAGCTCCTGCTCCTGGGAGCCCGCCAATGCGGACGAAGGGCCAGGTCAGCTCCTTACCTCCACCATGGTCTGGTTCCCCCTCAGCGCCAGGAGCATGCAGGGGCCCAGCTTGTTTTCCGCCAGGGAGAGCAGAAACTTTTTGGTCTTGTAACAGGAGCCCATGAGGATGTGCACCTGTGAGGCAAGAAGGCCCAGGTGATGGCAGGGCCACCAAAGGAGGGGCTGTGGCCCCCAGTGCTGGCTCCTGCCTGCTGGGAGGAAGGGAGGAACCCGGAGCCATTGAATGGATCCTCCCGAGTGCTAAGCAGAAAACTGGATCTTCAGTGACCACCACACTCTCCCTGGGGATGCATGGGGCCCCTCCCAAAGAGGACAGACCTTAAGGACGTTAGGCTGAGCAAACAAGCAGGAACAGAAGGACAAATGTGACCACTGTGTGGGGCTGGGATGGGTGTGTTCCCAGAGACAGGCATCAATAGCCTCAAATGGTAACGCTTGTTAAAGTCCCTCTCCAGTGCCCAGGGGCTGTGCTGGCATTCCATTCTCTGAATTCTTAGCACTGCTGGACCCAGGTGGAAATCTGGGGGCAGCCCTCACTTGGGGAAGCACTGGACAGCTCCCACACCTGGGGCAAGTTGTCACCCACTCTGCTTCCCCGCCAAGCCCCATGAGCTGGAGTGTTGAAGAAGATGCCCACCCCACAGGCTGAGAGCTGGGAGACCCGCTCCCCCCTGTGCTCCTGGTCTGTCTGGTGTTTGGGGAGGTGTCCACGGCAGGGGTCCCCAGGCCATGGAGCTGGGGGAGGAGAAACCTCGCCTCTTCCCAACTTCACGCAGGCTGGGAGGCAGCCCGATCCAGGGGACACTGCTGTCCCTGCGTTGCCATGAAGTACCCCATTTCCACCCGGTGGTGGCCGCTTCCTTCCCTGCGCCACCACTAACAACTCAGGCACACACACAGAGGCACGGAGCCAGGCTGCCAGCTCCCTGATTCTCTCACGCTGAGTCCCTGCATCAAGGGCCGGGAGCACTGTGTTGCCATGGTGAAGCTGTGACATCAGAGGCCAGAGAGAGGCTGCGAAGAGCAGGAGCCGTGTGAGCATGGGTGGGCAGCAGGACAGGTTTCTGGGGTGCGGGGCACTGGGAAAGGAGTCCTGCAGCAGCGAGTGGTGGGGAGGGAGTCTGAGGGAGGTGCCCAGGGCAGGCCCCTCTAGGGCAGCTTCAGAGGCAGCCTTCGGCTGTCGTCACTGCACCAAGTCCACTGCAGTTAGCTGTCTGCCCAGTCCACAGGCTGTCAGCAGAGGGGACAGCAGCCACAGGCAGCAGCTAGGAGCATGGCTAGCTGCCTCACCCAGCATCTTGTCACCAGTGTGCCAAGGACAGGCTTACAAAGAAGGCCTCAAGCAAGCTCTGAACTTCTCTGGGCGTGTTCTAACCCAGGTGTAGAGCAACAGGAATGCTGAGCAGATGAACAAGGGCGGTGTGTGAGGGTCCGACAGGGTGCAGGGGGACACCGAGGGCACTGTGGATACAGTCCTGAGATGGGAAGAGCCACCCCGACCTTGACCCCTCTCTGCAAGGACTAAAGGAGTCTGTGGGTTTTAGTGCCTTCCGGGCGCCATGTGCTCAGGCCTCTGCCATAAGCTCAAGCAACTGTGGGGCCTGGGCAGTAAAGGCTGTGGCCATTAATGGCCTCGTCTACTATACAGGACAAAGGTAAGGTTCCTCCTCCCAGAGCCAAGTGACATGGGCAACGCTCAGGAAAGGAGCGAGCAGGTGACCACCATCAGCACTGTTTCTGCAGAGGTGTTCCTGGACAGGCCACAGAGGGCTTGGGGCAGCTACTCTACTGGTCAGGAGGGGCAAACCCTGTGCCCAGCGCAGCTCCGCAGAGCCTGCACTACATACCATGCTGGCAAACAGCTCCCCATCATCGTCACAGGCCACCCCTCCGGGGCTGTAGAGCTGAAACCAGCCGTCCTTGCCAGCCCGCACGCTGAGCAGGCAGGAATGCACCTGTGGCAGAGAAGCAGAGGTCAGCCTCCCATGGCTGGACCACAACACCCGATCCACAAGGGAAGTGCCAAGGCCCAGCAAGACCAGCAGGCCCGAGACTCCCAGCTGGAATACCTTTGGGGAACAGAGGTCCCCACACCCCGGGGAACGCCAACTCCGACATCAGTTCCCTGGGATGGAGGCCAGGGCCAGCCACACAGCTGATAGCCAGCCAGGCTCGGCCTCCTCAGCTCCCTTCCCTGGCTGCTTCCTTCCTCCCTCTGCCGGGTCTCTGCCCCTCTCCCTGCAAGCCTCTGACTCCTCCCTTGCTCTCTGTCCCCCTTTCTGTATCTCTCTTGTCACGGTCTGGGGCAGTCTCTGTCGGCCTCCTTCCCACCTCTGTGGTGTTCCCTGCTTTCATGTCCCGCCCTCTCCCTCGGCCTGGGCCCCTGCCGCCCTCCTCATGAGGGCTCATCTTTGCTCCTTCTCCATCGAAGGGTCTTTGTCCCGGGCACCCAAAGCACGACCTCAAATTCCTTCCCAGAGCTGTGTGTGCCTCCATGAGCATGGGTGGGAGGAACTCTGTCCATTCCAGTCCCACACGAAGAGACAGGGACACAGTCACCCCCACACAGGCCTTTGCCCCTCCCTCCCGTCCTCAGCTGGAGAAGGCTTGATCAAATCCTTCGAAAGTAAGGACGACCTGCTGCCGGGAGTCACTTACTCGCAGGTGTCACGGTGGGCACGCCCCCCCACAAATAAACACAAAGCAAAGGCAGCAGGCATCCACGCCGCCCTCCGAGCTGGCAGAACCCAGGCTGACGTGCCCACTTCCCAGAGTCACAACAAGGTATGAAATGCTAACCGACCAACATGGCCAGGAACTCAAAAGACGACAACTTGGGCCTCACTCAGAGGGGGAAAGCCAGGAGGGGAGAGGGAGGAATGAAGGGAGGAGAGACGGAAATGGGGAACCGCAGAGAAAACCAAGAGGCCAAGAGGAGAAGGGACCACAGGGCAGGCGCATGAGCAGAGCGGCAGGCTGCTTCCTGTGGCCAGTCCCTGGCCCCAGCACGGCACCCTGGCCTGGCACTGGCCCTCCCACAGCTGCTCTGTCTCTCCACCCTTTTGTCCTCAAGTCTGTTTGGACACAGAGTCCCTTCCCAGGAGGGCTCTGAGACTGTTCTCACACAGTGAGTGACTTGGGGTGGTATATCCCAGATGACTCGGGCTCCAGCTCCTTAAAAGCTCCTACCTACAGCGAGGCCCTAAGCAACTTGGCAAGACCCTGTCTCCAAAAAAAAAGGACAGTTGATGTCATGGCCATCTAAGGCCTTGCTCACACACAGGTGCTGGGACGAAGTCTACCTGTCCCCAGAAGCCTAGCTTTGCTGAGGGTCGGATGTGTGGCCGTTTATGGAGGCCTTGGCCACCATGCCCAGGAATAAAACCTGGCTCAGAACCTGGCTCGGATTCCTCCTGGGCCTGCCAACTCCTGGAGCAGCAGCCCTGGACAGGACCCCAAGCCGCCTGAGGGCTCAACCCACCCCTCCATCAAGGCCTTCGCAGCAGGGAGAAGCCATCAGCCAGTGGCAAAGCATCGCTGGTTAGCTAGGTCCTGGGGAGAAGTGCCACCACAGACGGTCTATGCTGGCCACGGCTGTACACATCAGGCAAACATCCTCCGTCAACTGCACCCGTCCCCTGGTGGCCAGGGAGCCCCTGGCAGAGCCTCAGAGGGCTCTGAAAGACCCTCGTGTGACTGCTATCCCCAACAGCATGCCTCCTTGCAGAGAGGCTGGGTGTGGCTCAGCCGCGGAGCGTGTGCCTAGAGCAAGTGAGACCCGCCTCCACCCCCAGCTCACCTCTTGCCGCGGGTCTTCCGCAAACCTCTGAATCACATACTTCAGCTCCCTGGAAGAGATGGGCAGGCAGGTCACTCCTGGCCTGGGTAGACAGGGGGGTGGAGGCATGGGGCAGGGAGGGGTCAGGTCACAGAGGGAACGTCTGACAGGGCAAGGCGTGTTGCTAGGACAGGCTGGACAGCTGCAGGAGCACGTCCAGGAGGATACACTGCTGCCTCCCAGAATGCACGTGGCTCAGAAAATGGGCTAAGAGGCTGGCCATGGAGGGTGACCTCAGAACAGAGGACGTGCCACCCAGGAGCAGGGAGGAGGGTGGAGGGTGCTGCCACCGGAGTACTCACTTGGTGAACTTCTCGTGCGCAAGTGCTCTGTGCAGAAAACAAGGGAAACACGCAGTCAGCACGGGCTTCCTAGCCACTCCAGAGCGGCCCTAGGACTGTCTGACTTTGTGTTCGACTCGAAGAATGAAGAGGGGGTTAAAATGAAAGACTGACATTTTGTCCCCACTCAGAGCTCCAAACAAAGGCCTCCTTTGAGGAGTGACAAGTCCTAGCAAGGTGACAGGCTAAGCCCATGCCCTCCTGCCACCAGCAGGGGCGCTAACCGGGTGCTGAGCTTGTGCAGTTGCACGTGGGCTCTGGAGACCCAGGTGTCGTTAATCGTTCCACTGTCAAGGCCTGGCTGCACTAATTACCGCTGCACATCGGCAGGCAGCCGGGGACCATTTTTCAAGCGAACTGCATCATGGGCCACTGTCAAGTGTGTGCCTGGGCCTGTGGGGACACTGGCTGTAACCAATGACGCCACAGCCCTTCCGAGACCCAAAGCAGCTCTCAGGAGTTGGATTTCTCCGGTCTCCAGACCTCGGCCCGTGGGAACAGGACGGGCCAGCAAATGGGGCAATTACCGGTGTAATGCCTCCCTTAGAGGAACTGCATTTCATAAACAGGGGCTCCTTAATGGGCTCCGGAGAGAGCCCAGGCCGGCCCCCGAGGCCAGGCCTCTTCACACGGATCAAAACAGACCTGGAGGCATGTGGAGACCTGGGCCCGAGGCAGAGCTCTTGGCTCCCCTAGGCCATCACCACAGATGGCACTATTTTCCTGTGATGCTTCTGATACTGGGATCAGGGCTGGCAGAGACAGAGGGTCCATTTCAGCCCAAATTCACGGTGGAGCCTGAGCTAATCACCATAACAGGGTGGTGAGAGCTTCCTGCACTTTACCATGCTGCTGCCTGCAGACAGTTCCAAGTGCATTTTCTTTGGATTTTCACCATCCCCCTTGGAGACAGAGTGGCAGGTGTTATTTCCCTTTTGACGCACACTAAAAATTGCTAACTTGATGCCGCAAGGCTTCATGGGAAGGCTGCTGCCTCCTGAGCTCAGCCGATCCTTGCCACAGAGCCCTAGGCCTCGGGAGTCTCCTCTAACTCCCTGTGGCGTCCACCCTGCTCTCCCCGTGACTGGCTGTGCCCCTGCCATGACGTGCCCTGGGAGGTTTCCCTGCAGTGGGGGTTCAGGGCAGTGCACTTACTCTTTGGGGAATGGAATGGGTTGAAGCAAGCTGGCCAGAGACGGTCTCCAGTCATCATAGTCGGACCTGGAATGAGAAAACGTGGTGAGGACAGTGGTCAGGGCGAGGCTGTTGATGTGCCGCCCTGGGTGGGCAGCAGGATGAGATGCTAGTCTGGTGAGTTTGCCCACTTCAAGGTCCAAGAGTGGTGGAGGGCACAAGCACCTCATGTCCACAGTGCAGCATGAGGTCACCAGCAGACCCAGGCCAGCTTCCAGACGGCAAATGCAGGGTTACTGCCTACTACCCAGGATCTCAGACCTGCCCCACCCCTGAACAAAGCCTTCGCTGTCATTATCCATGCCTTCTCTTGAACCACCAGGAGTTGTTAGGGGCCAAATTGTGTCCCCCTGACCCAAATTCATGCTGGCGTTCCAGCCCCTAGGACCTCAAAGTATGACTGTATTTGGGAATCAGCCCTTTAAAGTCGTGTCAAACGCAGCCCTCAGGGCAGGCTCCTCCAACCCACTCACATCCACACAAGAAGGGGAAGCCCAGACACCAGGACACATTAGGTGTGTGCATGCCACGAGAAGGTGACCCCCTGGAGTGCTGATATAAGAGGCCTCAGGAAATACCCCCCACCGATGCCCTCATTCCAGTCTCCTTCTCGGAGTGGAGAGAACACACGCTTCTGCTGGTCAAGCTGCGCGGTACTCAGTGTCCTGTGCTGGCCATCAAGCACGCTGACACGGCCATGCTACCCTCGACCAGAAATGAAGGGGCAGCTGTAGGTGCCACGCTGTCTGAGGGCAGTCCAGGTACCTCCTGTTGTACTGGATGCTTCGATTCCTGCTTCCAGACAACTGCTTTCTTTCTGCAGCTGAGGCGACACTGAGAATGCTGCGATTCCGTCACCTGCAGTGCTACACTAGAGCGCGCTGAGCGAGCACTTCGCCCGCACCAGCCCATGGAGTCTGCTAGGCAGCCCCGGCAGAGCCCCAACTGTCCCTGACGAGCTGTCAGGCGCCTGGCAAGTAACTGCAGAGCTGCTCCACGTGGGCACAGGAGGGAAGCAATGCCTGGGAGCCCCCGGGTGGGCAGGGCTGCTCCCGTCCCACCAGGTCAGCTTCTAAAAGAAGGAAGTGTACTGCCCACTCCTGCCCCAAGAAGCCAGAGCAAGAGGGTCTGGGATGGGGGGGCGAGCCAGAGTCTCAGTCTGAAAAGAAACGGCCTGCACACTGCGGCAGAGCTTCCTGAGGACCCCGTTCTACAGATGAGGGAAACCAAGGTTCAGAGATGCCTTGTACCTGCTACAGGTCGGAGCTGGTAGTTGAGGTATGGCCTGAGGTGCTCTAAGGCACAATCCACCTTGTCTCCCTCCCCAAGCCTACACTGACTATTTGTAACACTGACTATAATTTGGTTACAAACTGAGTTGCTGATTTCTCTGGCTTTGGGGACTTAACTGAAAGTAAACCCAGAGGTAGGTGGCTCTTGCCGAATGTCCTAAGCCAAGCCTGGCACTGCAAGGTCCAGGGCCGAGGCCCTCACGCAGGGAGAGAGGGCACTGTCAGGGCAGTCCCCCAGGCAGAAGGGTCCCTGCCTACTCCCCAGGATCTCAGACCGCCCTCCGGCCCAGGCAGCGGTTGGGGCTCACCTATGTAGCCCCTATGGTGGGTGCTGGCCCGGGACATGGCTGGTGCTTGGGAGAGGTGACACAGCCTGGGGACTGTGGTTCACTTAGAGCAGAAGGGGACATTGATCAGTCTCCATTCTGTGGAGCTGTGAGAGGATGGCAGAGAGCCTGTCTTGGGCCAGGGGCAAAGGGCTGGCACATGGGGGGCAGAGGGATGACCAGGGGCCCCAAGCCTGATTCTTGTTCTTGGGACCTGTGACTCCTTTACACTGGGAACACAGTGTTTCTCAGCCTCCCTATCCTGACCTCCACCAGGAGCGGTTTTCCTAATCGCCTCCTCCCCACATACATTTTAACACACTCTGTCTGTTGTCTGTGTGCTGTACACCTACAGGGCCTTAGAAACAGCAAACCTGTCTCCACCACGTAGGACAAACACTAGCTTCTGTGGATCATGCCTGGTTTAGAGACCCCCTGGATGAGGGCTCTTCCTGCCCGGCCTTCCTCCAAACAAACCCATGATATAGTGGCAGCCTTTGGAACCTGGACCGATCCCTTGAAGATTCCTGAGGAAAGGCCCAGATGTCGGACGCCTGGGAGAGAACTGCCAGGAGCCCGGTGGCCCAAGGTTAGTTGTAGCGGTGGTACTGGCTGACTTGTGACCCCGAACACCAGGGGAGCTGGCGAGAGCAGGGGGAGGGAGCCTCAGCCATCTGAGAGGCGCAGAGCTGGCCTGCTGCAGCCAAGGCCTATGTGCTCTGCTGCCGTGGAACTTGGAGCCCAGAGGCCCCAGGGTGCAGGCGGGCACGTGCCTGTGCCCTCAGCTCTTTCTGGGAGAGGCGTACACTTTTGCGGCTCGTTCATCTTCCCTTCAAGATGCCCCTCTGGCCATTTCCCCTACCATCACTGCTTCGTACTGTTTCCGGCAATCTACATGCAACCTCAGGCACAGCACTCTTCCAGAATTTTCCCGAACGTCAGCTCGTGTGGTCCTCCTGCGACCCAGTCACATGAGCATTCCTGCCACCTACTGTACAGACAGGCACACTGTGATTAGAGAGGGTCCCCCTTTGGGATGCTCAGCTGGGTGTTCAGCCACCTGTCAATGACCAGCCACCTGGAGCTCTGAGCTGTTCCGTGACAAGACGCTCCCTGCCAGGTGGGCCTTCTTCTCATTCAGGGGGAGAACACTGCAGCGCCAGAGCAGCCTCGCTGCCCAGAGAGGCCCAGAGTGAGGCACAGCAGAGGCTGAACGGGGTACCACTGGTCCTCCTCCTGCTCCTCACTGGACACTCAGGCAATGTTCATGGGCTTTGTCCTGGGCCTGCTGTCCTGTCCAAACCCCACTGCACCTCAGTTTGCTAGGCCTCATATGACCCGGTTCCTCTCTTTCCTGCAGGGACTCCTCATGGGGTTGAGGAACATGGTGGTGGGATCTCCAAAGAGCAGGGCTTCCCTGAGCATCACCTGATGGTCTCCTGTGATCCTGCCCAGTAAGGCCTCCCAGCCATCAGAATACCCCAAGGCGTCTGCATTTCCCCTGAAGACCCTGAGGGTGGGGTTCTGCCCAGAGTAGCTACAGCCTGTCAAACCTCTTTAAAACCAGCCTTTGCAAGGAGTGGCAGACAGCAGAAGCAGGAGGGTCAGGAAGCCCTCCGCAGGCTGTCTTCTCTCCCTGGACAGAAGCGCAGCCTGCTGCCGTGGGCTGCTGAGTACCCACAGCTCCACGCACTGTACCCCACCCCACCGGGCACTCAATGTTACTGCTTTGGGTACTTGACAATCCTCAGGTTCTGAGGGACTGAGGCAAGGACCAGGCAGAATCCCTGACATTTGGCACAGAACCTGGCCCACTGAAGGTGTGCCACCAACCTTTGATAAACAGGCAAGCCAGGTGTGGTGGCACACGCCTGTGAGCCCAGCAGCTCAGGAGGCTGAGACAGGAGGATGGGAGTTCAGAGCCAGCCTCAGCAATGTCAAGGCACTAAGCAACTCAGTGAGACCCTGTCTCTAAATAAAATACAAAATAGGGCAGGGGAGGTGATTCAGTGGTCAAGTGCCCCTGAGTTCAACCCAGTTATTGACCCCCCCAACAAAAAAGAATAAGCAAGCAGCTAAGTGTGAAAGGCCCATGAGACTACACCCTCCAGAGGCCGCGGGCCTGCTCCTGCCAGCTCCTTCCCTCACAGAAGCCAGCCGGCCTCCCAGCTGGCCTTTGGCATCAATCCTGACTGCACTCCCGAGGGTCCCCAGGGATGATTTACGGCTTTGGTTACTTTGCAAAGTGTCCATTCTAACGACGCGGGGGCCTTCCTGTGGGAGCACACACAGCCACGATGCAGGGACTGTGCCTTTCTCACACTGTCCCCGCTCCTCTCTAGATGCAAGGTGGGCTGTGCTGACCCACACTCCCAGGGGCCAGCAGTGTCCTCTCAGTGGACAGAGGGGGCCATGCTGGCCAAGGCTGAGTGCGCACAGCCTCCTTCACCCCACAAAACCTTCAATTCCACACTGAGTCTACTTGACATTGAACTGTCCTTTGGGCAGCAATTCAGTATTGCTGGTGGCCATTCACCCTTATCAAGATCGGGAGGCCAGCACCCCCCCACATCCCCAAGTTCTCACGAGAGCCCTCTAAGGCAGGCAGCCACCTATTTCACAGCCAAGAAAACAGAGGCCCAGGCAGCCAAGAATGCTGACACGGCCACACAGCAGAGGAGTCCCGTGGCCGTGGCGTCCGACCGCCCACATGGAGGTTCCTGGCAATCCAGGTGTCTGCTGAAGGTTGAACTGGTTCTTCTCCCTCAAAGCACTGTATTAAACTAAGGGTGCCTCTTCCTGTGGCTGAAACAGACACCAAGGCTGTGCTCACAAATTCCAGCGACTCCCATCTGCAGGTGCCACCTTGTGCTGATGGCTGCTATGTGGGGCGCAAGCCTGGGCTGGATGTACTTTCACCAATGGCCAAGGTGGCCATGAGCACTGCACCTCTCAGCCTAGGAGCTGAGGCTCGGAGGCCCACCCACTTCACGAGGAGTACGTGACACACGGGAAGGGCACAGAGCCTGGGCTGGGTGTACTTTCTCAGAGCGTCACACTGAGGTGTGCAGCTGCTTGACTGGAGCAGGTCTGAGGTCCCCAGTATGCCAGGAGCTGAAGTGGCCCACTGGGTTAAGAAAGAACGTAGGAAATGAAGCCACCAGGCAAGCAGGGGACACTGTAGCGTGCTCCGAGCTCCCCTTCAGAGACTTCTGAGAGTTTAACCCCACTCTGCAGAGGCCTCTGACCCGGCCTGCCCACCAGGAAACCCCGACCCCAGCCTGTGCCTGGCAGTGGCAATGGGGTAGGCAGGCCAACGCCTAGAGAACCCAGCCTTCTTCCCACCATGCAGGAAGGGAAAACCCAGCAAGTGATGAAACGCAAGCCCTCAACGCCAGGTGAGCTCCAGTCAGGACCCAGGAGGTCCAGGCCTGAGTCCTCGAGGGGGCGGAAGGCAGCTGAGCAAGGCCACTGGACCTGGGCTGGGAACCCTGCGGGACTCTGCCCTGCCTGGAGGACACTCTGGGCAGAGCGGGCAACTAGCAGCATTGGGAATGCCCTTGCTAGGGGTGTCCCTGGGTGTGGTGGTGCCCTCATGGGCTCTGTGTATGGCTGGACCCACATGGAAAGCTGGCACTGACCCTGGGGCCCTGCCTCTTCCTGGCCAAGGCCAACACCAGGGCAGAGGAGCTATTTGGGGATGCTGCCTCCATGTCCTCCTCTAAACCACAGGAAGCCACTGTGTAACCACAAGCCCACGTGTGTGCATACACACGTGTGAGCATGCAGGTACCACAGTCCTTACTGTGGAAGCAAGGGGCATCTGAGGCCCCTTCCTGCCACCTCACCAGCCTGCCAGGTGTCTGGAAGCTGGCCTCCCCTTCAAAGCCCTGGGCACACTCTAGGCAGCAACATGACCACGAGTTGGGGACAAGCAAATGCCACATTGTTGCATGACAAGAGGGTCTCAGGGAACCCTGCCCACACTGACAACAGCCCAGGTGCCTGGATCCTCCCGTGAGAGAGGCCCCTGGTGCCCCTGGTTTAGACAGGCACTGACTGTTGGTTCATATGTGACGATGCAGCCGTGCCCGATCCCCCTGGGAAGCCCAGCAGCCACCACCAACTGCACCTGGACATGCGGGTCTGTGGCTCTGGCTCCACAGAGAGCAGGACAGAGCACTACTCTGAAGCAGGGGATTTGTGGGAGCCACCTGATGGGTATCTCCAGACATAAGCTGGTCCCTGGGCCATCCAGGTGCCCCAAACATGGCTCCAGGAACCAAGCCCACATTGCTTGAGAAGGGCTGGAGCTGGCAGAGTGAATGGTGAGGCTGGAAAGGCCCTTGGGGGCAAGGAACAAGCCTGCCCATTCCAGACTCATACAGCCAAGAGGGACAGAGACCAAAGAACATAGCTTGGAAGCAGTGCCACCCAGAGCAGACCGGAACCTCGCTCCTTCTCCAGGGACCATCAGGAGCTCAGCCAGGACAAGGCCTGGACCTCAGCATGGTCCAGTAGAGCTGTTTGCCAAAGAGATGCTGCCCTTACAGAAGGTGCCCATGTGCATGGACCACACAAAGCACATGACCACAGCTATGCAGGCACACAGGCCCAAACAGACTCCATACCCACCATGTACGCAGGCTCAAATTCACTACACACGCACACTCTGCCACACACCAACACAAACATGCATGGCTCATACGAAACACAAACACCTGCTCACACACACACAATTGCACACACGCACTCATGCACAACACCAGGACAAGTGCCTAGACACACCCTTACTTGTGCATTTAACACTGAGACACTCACAGTAGGTCCCTATGGAGAAATCCATGTGAAGTCTACTCCCATATATACCACAGTCATGCAGACATACAAGCTCAGAACAAACCCAAACCCAAACCAGAACGTGCAGAAATGTCCATGTAATCTCTCTCTCTCTCACACACACACACACAGCCATGCATGCACTCCACATGTGTACATTCCCGGGCACACTCCTGTGTGTGCTCACAGACTCTGCTGTGTGAACTCACTCTGGTGTCTGTATACCCATGCCCAGCCACACTGGCTGTGCACATTTCTCCAGACCCCAAGCAAGTGCGTGCACTCACACACACACTCACCCTGCCCCACCTCACAGGTGGCACGTCAACAACTGTGGCAGAGCCCAGGGGCAGAGGGGGCATCCCTTAGTCCCCCCCCCCCGCCCGGCAGCGGCTCGCAGGATACTCACAGCAGCTTGAGGATCTCCACGTAGCAGCCAAGCGTGCGGTCAGCCTGGGGGCCCAGCTCGATGCTCATGGTGCTGCAGGCGGGGCTGACCATGAGGCAGTCGATGAGGTTGGGCTCGCTGTCGTTGCCCGCGCTGGCCGTCAGGGCTGGCTTGGCAGTGCTGGTGCGTTCCACCTCCACGTGGATCTCACTGGAGGCCACGACCACCGACTTGAGCCGCGCCTCGGACAGCGTGGCTTCCTGAGACACCAGGTCCGGGCTGGGGTGCAGAAGGCGCAGAGGTAAGGTGGGCTTCCGGTCGCAGGGCTGCTGACAGCCATTCCGGATCTCCTTCAGGCTGGGGGAGTTGTCGCGGCTGGTGGAAGAAGAGGAGCAGGCAGGTGAGAACGGCCTGGCATGCTTGGAGGCAGGGGTGGCGGCAATTGGAGACGTCATTACGAGTGCTCGTGATGCAGAAGGCACCAGGCTGCTAAGTGCCTTCCCAGCCCCACGGCAAGGCCTGGAGGGAACACCGCCCTCATCCCTGCTCCAGGAACGGGGAGCGGCTCACTGACAGCCCTGCAGACAGGAAGCAGTGAATCTGGCTCCAGACCTGGCACAGAGTGGCCTCAAAACACCTGCTGACCCCACAGACCCAGCGTCTCTAAGATAGCCACAGGCTGTGGGGCTCACCTCCACTGAATGCCTTCCCTGGTCCAACGATTCTATGCCTACCCCCATCTTGAAGCCAGTGTCCTCCTGGGTCCTACTCCAGTGCCCACCCCAGCAGGTGAGAGAGGCCAGCATCTGCCGTCCACCCAGGAGCCCACTTCAATGGCTCCCAAACCCCAGACTGCCCATCACAGCTGCCTGCCCAGGGTGTTACTAGAAGTAACATGGCATCATTAATGTCACATTTGTTTGGAAAATGTGGGGCCAAGTGGTAAAATTAGGCCTCTTCACAACAGGACTCGTCAGCACCTTGACCTGGTTAAAACCCCTCCTCTGAGTGTTTCTTAATGCACTTGGTTCCCACCGGGGCTGGTGCCCACAGGCTGGCACTGTGCTGAGTGCTGCTACACAGATGCTCCAAACACTGGTGCTGAAAGTATTCCGAGGTCAAATGACCTTCCTGAGTCAAGGAAGCTGGGATATGAAACTGGATCTCTCTGATACAAAGCCAGGCTCCTCCCACCAGGTTCTTCCAAGACCTCCTCAGACCCTGTGCAGGTGCCCTCCTGCAGGAAGTCTCCCTTGATTTCTTCCTCCCATTGAACTCTAAGCCACAGCTTTTGCCCTGGTTGGACACCAGGATCTCCTGGGGCACTTCAAACACCCCAAAGTCCAGTTAGATCAGAACCTCCGGGTGAGGTCTGGACATGAGTCATGTTCCAGGCTCCGGTGTGTGTGGCCAAGGTTGATATCCTCGCTCCACCTGACTGAGCGCTGGTCCAGGCCTCCCCAGGAGACCCTCCCGTGCATGTCCTGTGCCTCCCACGCATGTCCTCTGTGCCTCCCGCACTCTTGCACCTGTGCTGAGTAGCAGCACGAGGGGCCCTGTGCAAGTCTCAGACTCCACGCACAGGGAGGGTCTGAATTCACCCAGCACCTGCCACCAGCCAGGGCTGAGCTGAGCCCACCAAGGGTGTTTAATAAACATGCTTTAAACTTTGCTGGGGGAAAAAACAATCCCTTGGCTACCGTCCAAGAACTCTGCGGTCGATGGAAAATTGTGTGTGGCCTGTGGGGGGTGGGGCAGCCCGAATGTCTCCTTTGGTTCAGACCTAATTTGCTCCCCGATGCTCGGCGCTCCATGTCCTTTGCGTTGCTGGGCCTGGGAGTGGATTTTCAAGGCTGTTTGGCTCTGATGGGTGATTTTCCCGAGAGCCACGCTAACCTGGGTCGAGCTGTCTGTTCTTGTGCCTGTGAGTACATCATGTGCCGCCGGAGCTCTGCGGAAGGCCTAGAGAACGCTGCAGCTTTATCTTGGAGGGACTGACCAATGGGGTGTGAGGGACGTGAGCACAGGAACATCTCCCTGGAGATGAGTGTCTTGGGGTATCTGGAGGAACTGGCAACACTGGTGGGGACCCCGACTCCTCTGGGCTCTGAGGGGGTTCAGCTGTGCTAAGCAGGGAGTTGAGGCCAGCCTGGGGGGAGGTGGCAGAACCTGTCTCGCCCCCTCCCTGTTTCAGGAGCCGCCTGATGCCCCCCTCGTCTCCTCCAGCCCATCCTGCAGCCAGCAGCAGCGTGACCTGAGCCTCTGGCAGTGAAATCCCACGAGGGCCTCCTTCACTTCCAACGCACACTGACTCTCCAGCCTTCTCAGAATAAATCCTGCCAGTGAGACAGTGCTAAAGAGTGGTCCCCACCACGGCACGACTATCAGAGCAGGGAGCCTCTCAGATCGGCACCCGAATCTGCTTTTAAAGACCATCCCCAGGAAAGTGTCAGTCGCAAAGGTCAAGAAGCTGAGCTCCGCAGATCTGGCCATGCTGGGGCCTGCCTCCCTCTCCAGCGCCACTTTGTGCTGCTCGCTCTCTGCCCCACTCACACCAACTTCCTTGGGTTCCTGCCCTGCAGAGCGTCTCTACTCTCTCTGTGAAGCAGCATTACCTGAGGAGTTGGGGACGCAGATTCCTGGGCACCCCGCCACAAGAGCCGCCTCCAGGAATCTGCATCTGAAAGTGGCCGTCCAGGTGGTTCTGAGGCAGGGGCTCAAGGCCCACCCACAGAAAATACTGTGACCTCAGCAACTTCATCCACCCCTGCTGGGCCCTGTGTGTGCTTCTCCCTCTGCCTGGATCACCTGCTTCCTGCCTCTTGCCCTGCTGACAGCCGGGAGGTCTCGGCTTACACAGCACCTTCCTGAGGGGTCCTTCCTGGTCTCCCTGGAGCAGGGGCTCTCAGCTCTGGTGTGCCAGACCACCCTGATTCTATCAGAACCGCAGGCAGCCCATGGGGCCCAGGGACCCTGTTCTGACTGCAGGATGCCGGTGACGTCTAATAACCACTTCTGCAGGAAAAGGCACCCTGGCTTGCAGCATTTGCCAATTTCCATGGCCTCAGTATCCCTGCTGCAACTGCCCTCAAGTGACGTGGCATCGCTGGCCACAGGGCTGGGGAGCGTGTCCTCTGAGGGCCTAAGTCAGCTGAGCCTAACTTGCCAGGGTCGGCAGAGGGAGTGACTCCTGGGCAGAGGTAATTTCCACACATCTCCCCGTGTAAAAGCACCCCGGCCAGGGCTCTGCAATGGGACTCGCCTGGCATCTGGGGATAGAGAGCTGTCAGCTGTGTCCAGACACTGCCAATTCCCCCCTGGGAGGAAAACTGAGGACACAAAGCAGCGTGCAGGGTGCGGACTGTTTCCAGGAGCCTGGCAGCTACCTGCCACCATTCTGCAGCCTGCCACCACAGTGAGTTTTGCCCAGCCTTGAGGGTATCCTTTGGGTCTGACTTTTTGCGCTCAGTATGATGCGCTCAGTGAGGTTCACCAGTTCATTCATTCCTGCTACTATATATGGATCCTTGTGCAGTGCTCGCAGCATCTGCCAATTTGTTTAGGACACAGTTTATTTATCTGTTCTCCTGTTGTGGTACATTCAAGTTGGGGAAGATTTCAGTCTGGGGCTGTTGGAAGCCATGCCGCCATCAACATTCGCACACGTGTCTTTGGTGAATATACAGCACAGACAGGAGGGGAAGTGCTAGCTCACAGGTCTGGCTCTGCTTTCCAGTTGTCTGAAACCTTCCCAGGAGGCTGAGACCCCAGCCAGACTGCAACGGTGCCCCTCCCGCCCCATGTCTCACTGCCTTGATCAAACCATGCTGGACCGTGCTCACCTGCCACTGCTGCTTCACCTGGGCAACGTCAGCACCTGGCACGTGGTGGCCCCTGAACAAGTGCTGGGGAGGGGAGCAGGTGGGGCACTGGTGGGGCTGCTCCCCCTGAGAGGCAGCGAGTGCAGTGTCCAGCTCTGTTCCTTTCCCCTCTGACCTTCCCCTAGGTGGGAACTGGGAGAGATTTCCAGTCTCCTTGTCCTCTGCCTCCTGTTCCAGGCGCCTCACGGAGCCCTGCGTTCACCATTTTCTGCTCCTGACCCACCGCCACCTTAGCCAGGTGTGCAAAGCACCCTGCAGGCCAGGTGAGTCAGGTGCCAGGAAAGGAGCCTGGGGTGTCCTGTGCACATCTGTGCCTCAGAGCTGGAGTCCAAGGCCAGGGCAAGCGAACACCAGTGTGTACAGGGGAGCCTTGGGTGTCCGGGGGACTGTCTGACTTCCTTTTCTGTATTTTTTCTTTCTCTTCTTATCCATGCTGCAGGCCTTAGGACAGGCACTTGGGGACAACCAGCTGGTCCTCCATGCCCTAACCCCAGGGTCTGGTCACATTTGAACGCCAGGACCTGGGGCTGAAGGCGTTAAGGACAGCGCCCTGCCTTTTAACGCTCTGCCTCAGGGACACCCCGATTTACCAAGGCCCCTTTCCCACTCCTTCCTCTAACCCTCAAAGCATGGTGCTTGTTCTAGAAGTCCGGTCTGCACAGGGCTTCTATTATAGTGTGGATGTGAGGTGTCCCCTAAAAACTCACAGGTGACACAAGGCAAGAAGGTTCGGAGGAGAATCTTAGTCCAATCAGTGACTTAGTCCTGACCGGGATTAACTGAGTGGTAACTGGAGTGGTGGGTATGGCCGTAGGAGGTGGGAACTGGGGTGTGCTTCAGGTATATATTTGTATCTGGCGAGTGGAGTCCCTCTGCTTCCTGATGAAGTGAGCGCTTCCCTCTCCACACTCTCCATGACAGCCAGCCTCACCTCAAGCCCCAAGGAGTGGAGTCAGCCTTCTATGGACTAAGACCTCGGAAACAGTGAGCCCTCAAATAAACCTTTCCTTCTCTGCAGCTGTTCTGGTCAGGTCCTTCAGTCACAGCAAAGGAAAAGCTGACTAAAACAGTCTCTGTGCTCTACTGCTTTTTCTTTGAGAAAAACCAAAGTCCACTCTGTTGCATCTTCAGCTACAGTGGGGCCTAGACACTGATTCCTTGGAGTTGTGCAGTGAACTGTCTGGACAACTGGGAGGCTGCAGCAGACATCATCACCATCATACACATGCCACATCTCCTCCAATGACTAGAGATCACTGCAGAAACTTCCTCATGAACTCATGGTACCCGAGGGGGCCTACCCCAGGAGTAGACCTCCACCAGCAAGGAAAGGGGCCTGGGAACTGCAAGTGTCGGCCCTCAGGGGATGACTAACCTCATCCTGCAGTGGTCACCTGCTTGCTAACTCAGCTGGACCAGCTGTCCCCTCTTCCCTGTCTCCTTCTACCTGCACTTGCATCTGTTTCCACCTGCATCTGGGTCCAGGGTTAGCCCCTGGGGATCTGATTCCAGGAAGAGGCCCTGCAGGACCTCCTCCGGTCCCCTGCTGCCCGCCTGCTCTGTCTCACCTCGCGAACAGCCCTTCTTCCCAACTGACACAATCCTGCTGCTGACTGGTCTGCAGGATAGAACCCAGGCCTCAAAGGGCCAGGGGAGTGGTGACCATACTTAATCTCCAGCACCAAGAACCACGCCTGGCCTGAGACAGGTGCCCAAGAAAAGCCAGAAGAGCCCTGTGCTCTCAAGGACAAGGCCAGAAACAGACCTCACTGTGAGCCCGTGCCACGTGCACACACCCACACACGTGCACTCACATGTGCACCCCCCACGCTGCACACCAGCTGGTCAGAGTCCTCAGCACACAATCTGGTTCCCAGAGCCGGTCACCTAGCAGCTTGTGGGTGCTGGCATAGATGCAGCGCTTGCCTTCTCAGCACCCTCCCAGGGCCATGCCCCCGTTGACACGCCCAGGGGACTTGGCAAACTTGAATCCAGCCCAGCAGAAGCTATTCCACCTCCCTGTGACCTCTCCCCCATGCCCCCCGGGGTGGCACTGACCTGTTGATGAACTCTTCATAGCAGGAGTAGATGGCAGCCAGGCACACGGCCACCAGGTTGGGCAGGACCCGGGGGTGGGGACAGTGCCCTGTGGGGCCGTGCATGCTGGAAAAGAGTGGAGGGCAGGGTGAGCCAGCTGAGTGGCCTGGCACGCTCCCCCGTGTCAATGGCTGTCACATGAGGGAAACAGGCCCCTTCTCCAGAGTGACAATGAGCACCAACTTCCTGGTTCACAGAAAGACTAGTGCCTGTGTGTCCCGGGGCAGCCACACCTGCACCTGCTGGTTCTGGAGTAGTCACGCCTAACATTCCACTGTACTCTCAAAAGTGTACTTTTTTGGAAGAAAAAATTTTATGGTCATCTGGGCTTGGCATGGATCTAGGACAGTCACTAAGCCTTCCCAAGACAGGCCTCACTTGGTGAAGCTCCACTAACCATAAAGGGGGCTGTAGGGGAACCTGAGGTCCCCAGGGTTCTGGAAGAAGGACACAGCAGCACTTGGGTTTGGAACCGCGCTGGAGGGTCAGGTGGGATACTTCAGAACTCGGAGGCTTCAGAACCGTTTTAACCACATTGAATTCCCACACTCACAGGGTGAAGTGGGTACTTGGGTAAGTAAAACTAAAGTATGAAGAGAAAAGTGAAGAGCAATACAAGAAAAGCAAGCGGGCAAAGCCTGAACCTCAGAAATGGGCAAGAGCAAGAGCAGCCGGCTGCCTCCTGGTCACGAGTGGGAGGTGGCCGAAAGTCCTGCTGATTCTCTAAGGCCACCAGGGTAAGATCCTCTCTTAACCACCCGGTGGCACAGGGGTTGAGGGACCTGGGGAGAAGGCAGCACTGCTTAGGACTTCCACTACTTCCCAAGTGCCTACTGAGCAACACTACCCTGCTAGGGGCTGCCTCATGCAGACTCACGGCCCCTGCCCATACAGGAGGACGTGGGATTAGAGAGGTTGGCACAGTGCTACCCCACAAGCAGGCAGCTCAGCCCACACAGGGTGGGAGGATCTAGTGGAGTTCCTTGTAAAGGTAAGACAGCAGGCCTGCGGAACACCACCCAACTCCCCTGGGCGTCGCGGAATGGAGTGCTGGGGCCAAGAGGGAGGGAAGCGGGCTCTCAGGCCAGGGGAAGAAGCCAGACGGGAGACCTACCTCTGAATAAACTTCTTCACCACCTCCATCCCCGCGTTGAGTTCGTTCAAGGCGAGGATGTACTCCTGAGTAAAGAGCCTCAGTCGCGGGCACTTCCCAAAGTCCTGCACACAGAGCAGAGGGCGGGAGTTGGGGAGGCACCTTGGAGCGGGTGGGGTCCGGCTCTGCTGGAGTGCACAGAGAACGGGAAGCCCCACTTCTAGGAAGCTCACGCACGGTTCAGCACAGTCACCTGGAGAACCAGCACTGCCCTG